GGTAGGTGCTATTATCATCCTAATTTTACAGCTGAGGAAAGTGAGGCAGAGGTTAAGTGACTTGCCCAGAGTCACAGAGTTAGAAAATGTCTGAAGCAGGATTTGAACTCAGGTCTTTATCATTCCAGGTCTAGCGCTCTATCTAGTGCCAGGGGCTTGCCTAGGGTCTTCCTGACTCCAGATCTGGCACTCTATCCTCCATCTTCACTGAACCTCAATGCACCTTCATTGTTACTCTATCTTTTCCCTTCCTGTTACTACAGATCCTATTCCTCCTCTCAATACCACCGTCTCTCTTCCACAGAGCTTTATTAGGAAGAAAGGAGAAAAGAAACAAGCATTTATTGAGTACCTACTGTGTGCCAAGCACTGTGCTAATCGCTGGATAAACAAATACAACCTTGCCCTCCAGGAGCTTACAGTTCATCCTACAAAAGAGAACATGAAAAACAAAAAAACCAGGGCAGCTGGATGGCGTGGTGGATAGAGCACCAGCCCCTCAGGAGGACCTGAGTTCAAATCCGGCCTCAAACACATAACACTTACTAGCTGTGTGACCCTGGGCAAGTCACTTAACCCCATTACCTAGCCAAAAAACAAAAACAAAAAGAAGTTGGAAAAGCAATGCAGGGGTCTGGTTTGGGGGGCTCCCAGCACAGTGGAAGGAACCTCAGCAGCCTTCTAGGTCAAACCGAACCTGAAAAAAGGGAATCCCTTCTCTAACATATCCCAGAAGCGGCCATCCAATCTGCTCTGCTGGAAGTTCCTGGGGATTCTGGCCCTCCCTCTTCTCCCAGGCCATCTTCCCCACTCCTCATTCTTCTGGCCTCCCTACTCAATCTTGGTCCTGGGGCCTGTTACTGACTCCTCAGCCACCCCCACCCCCAAGAGAATTCCTGGAAGTTCCCCTGCAAGTTCTTGGCTCCTGCCTCAATCAGTATTGATCTCAGCCTATAAACACGGTGGGCCTGCCACCACCAGGCTGTGGATGGTCTCTAGGCAAAGTGAGGAAATCACCCGGATTTCAGCCATCATGGTTTTATACTGCATAAAAGTCCAGTGCCCGTTCCCCACCCCTGGTCCAGTGAATTGGGCCTTCCCGGGGTCTAGAGTCCTACTGCACATTTATTGATTCTCAGTCTCACCCCTTTCCTGCTGTCCTCACTCTGAAGACCCCTCCCCTACTTCCCTAATTTTCCCTGGTGCTCCCTTAAATAACCTCCATCCCTCACCTCGACACCCTTTCCTCCCCTCCCACAAGGAGTCCCTTACTCTTTGCCAAGGCCATCTTCTTCAATGATGCAAAAGGAAATGGACAAAGGAGGGAGGCCCGCAGGATGGAGGGCCCAGCTCCTCCACACAAGGGTCTCCACAGAGACCTTCCTCCAGGGCCCCGCTTCTCCCATGTTCCCCCTTTTTTGGATCTTCACGCCCATTCTCTCTTCCCTCTACCTATAAACATGGTCAGAGCTCCCCAATGAAAAAAAAAAAAGAGCCTCCTCTTGACTCCCCACCCCATACCAAGTATTAGCCACCATGTAGATAATGCTCTAAGATATCCAGAACGTGCTAATCTCTTCTGAGCTTTGCTGTGGACAGGTGGCAGGGAAAGGGATGAAGTGATTAGCTCAGGGCCACATAGTAAGTAACTCTATTTCCCCACATCCCCTCTATCCAATACCCTCTCATTACCATTCCATCTCTAGGCTCCCTTTTGCCTGTCACCTTTTCCCTTCCTAGATATTTATTGGAATCAAAGACGAGACAGAAGGGATCTCAGCCACTATCTTGTCCAAACCAGACCTAAAAAAAGAATCCTCTCTGACATCCTGGAGGAGTGGTCATCCAGCCCTGGCCTGAAGGGGATCCAACCCTACTGCTGTTGCAGGAGGCCACCCCACTTCTGGGAGCTCCACTTGTTAGGATCCTGACAACAAGCCTGAACTGCCTCTCTGCCACTGCGACTCAGCCTATTTTTCTCATGGTCCTGCCTCTGGGGTAAGAGAACAAGCTGAATCTACTTTCTCCAAGTGGGTTCTTTAAAGATATGAAGACAGTCCCAGCATTCCCCCCGAGCTTTCTCTTCTTCAGGCTGAACACCCCTTAACCTCATTGGGCCAGACCTTGAGGCCCTCTACCAGCCAGGGTGCTTTTCTCTGGATATTTTCTGACATAGCATCATTCTTAAAATGTGAAGCCTAGAACTCAGTCTAATATACCAGATGTGGTCTGACTAGGGCAGACTGCAGTGAGACTACTTATTCTTTATTTCCTTATTCCCAGGTACTAGACTTTTTTTAAAAATGTAGTTTAAGACCTCATTGGCTTGCCTGGCCACCATAGTCTACCACAGACTCATAATGAGCTTGCAACCCACTAGATCCCCAGATATTTTTCAGATGAAGTGCTGTCTAGCCATACCTTCCCCTCCTTCTATTTAGGGAGTTGAGTTTTTGAATTCACATGGGAGACCTTGTATTTTATTTTCCTATTACATTCCATCTTATTCAATTTAGCCTGTCCAGGATCTTTTTTTAGTCCTGTCTATGCAGTCCAGTGTTAGCTATTCTTCCCAGATTTCTGTCATCTGAACATTTGTAAAGCATGCCATCTGAGTCTTGATATTCAACTCACTAATAAACAGCACAGGGCCAAGAACAGTTGCCTAGAGCACACGACTGGAGACCCTAATTCCAAGCTGACATCATACAACCTTTTGAATTCAACCATTTAACCAGTTTTAAATTCATCTATGCATTATTGTCTTGCCCACATCTCTCCTTCATATATATATCTATATATATATACACACACACACACACATATATATATACATACATATATACACACACATACATACATATCTACACACATATATGTATATGTGTGCATGTATGTGTATAGCTATCTATCTATATCCATATCTCTATCTATATCATGAAAGACTTTATCAAATGCTTTGCTAAAATTGAGCCAAATGATATCTCCAGCACCCCCTCCATCTACCAGTTCTACAACCTGAATATAAGCCTGAAATGCCTTGTTTTTTTTCTAAAGTCATGATGGTTCTTTACGATCACTGTTTCCTTTTCCATATGTTCATTGACTATCCTTTGAATAGCATGTTACAGAATTTTCTTTTCTTTCTTAAAGAATTTTCCCAGTAATGAAAGTCTAGAGCACGCAGAGTCTGTTCTCTTTCCTTTTTGAAAATCAGGACATCTGCCCTTCTAGACTCCTTCGGTAACTCTCTGATTTACCAGATCTTTGAAAGGGCGCTGACAATGGCTTGGCAATCATAACCACCGCTTTTTTCAGTACCCAAGGATGTAGTTCATTTGAATCAGGTAATATGAACCTACTAAGGGCAGCAGGTGCTTTCTCCATACTTACTTATCTTGGGTATCCAACTTTAGATCCAGCCTGAAGCACTCCCCTTATCCAAAAAAACACACACAAAATGAGAGAGCCGCTGCACCTTGTGACATCCATTGCCATCATCCCATCTCTTCACTGCTCCTCTTTACCCCACAGATAGCTTAAACAAGAGAAAGAGCTTTTTTGTTTTCCGTTGCCTTCTTCCCGGCTCCTAACACTCTTCTTCCAGGACCATTCCGTGCTGCTGAATTCATTTTCTGTTATTTGTCCTTGCTTCCATTTCTCAACTTACCCTTTAAAAATCTAGACTGGTTTGTGAGTTATCAATATTTTATACAATTCCCCCTTTTTTTCCTCATCAGAATTGTCTTCCTTATGTCTTCAGCTTCCTTGGCTGACTCCACCAGGAGAACTTGATCCTGCCTTTCTTTCTACCAAACTCCTCTCAAATCTAGGATCCATTTCAGACTACACCAGGATTTCCTCACCTTCTTTCTTTCACAAACTCTAAGATAGAAGTAGTCACTTCCTCTCAGTGTTCCCATCATTTCTACTCCAACCATATTGCTGAGAACTGGACACAAAACAGTTTCCATTTCCGTGTCCCTCTTTTGAAGGGACAGCCAGATAGCACCATAGTGCATAGAGCACCGTGCCTGGAGTCAGGGAGACTCATCTTCCTGAGTTCAAATGTGGGCTCAGACGCTTACTAGCTGTGTGACCCTGGGCAAGTCATGTAATCCTATTTGCCTCAGTTTCCTCATCCATAAAATGAGCTGGAAAAGGAAATGGCAAACCACTCCAGTATCTTTGCCAAGAAAATCCCAAATGGGGTCACAAAGAATCGGACACAACTGAAATGACTGAATAGCAACAACTGTCTTTTAAAATACGAAATGATCATTAATTAAAAATTTATGAAATTCTCTGATTTTCATAGCAAAAACTCTAACAGATATCCAGATAACTGAGGTTAACCATTACTCTTACCTGCCTCTGGGACTGATTGGTGGTCTGTTCCCTAATTTGTTTACTCTAATTTCCTTTTTCTGTCCACTGATTATCTCCTAAATTTCTCCACCATGTTTTCCCATTCTGATTCCTAAATTTCCTCGTGTTCTAAATATAAAATGCTGTGCTGCTACCACGCCTCTCCTCTAATCTTTCAGCTATCCTTTCTCTTTTGAGTAAGATATACTTTTTCTGACCCACATGGGTTTCACCCTACCCAGTCTCAGTGAAACCTATAACGTCAAATTCTCCTCTTTGCTTTGGGATCTCTAGTGGAGCTGGTTTGCTACCCATAATCTGCATTTCTGCATAAAGGTCTGAGGCCAGGGTTTATTGTTGGCTTCTTTCCTGGACTCCTCCTCTTCTGAACTTCTGGATGCTTTAATTGCTATTCTTCCTACATTTTCCATACTCTCTACTGTATCTAGCTCTCCCTCCTTCCCCCCATACCCTTTATACTTTCAAACCCCTTTGATTAGATTTTCAAAACTCTAGGCAAATATATTCCTATTAGCCTTTGTAAGAGTGGTCGTACCCCATAGTGGCTGTACCCCATCCATTGCCAGAAGCCTACCATCCCTGTGTTTTAAACTGTAATCCAGAAATCCAAATCCCATTATTAAACACCATTATTTATTGCCAGCTGTTACTTCCCCAAATGTGCTTGTCTCTTCTGAAGCCCTTCTGTCTTCAGTGGACAGCAGTGATGAAGACACCACCAGGGCCCATACACAGGGTCTTCATTTTCTTGCCTAAGACTTCATAATTTTTGGCAATGATTTCTAGGTTCCTCCTGGCAGTATCACCAGGAAAGGGTAGCATTCATCCATTTTTAAAAATCTTGGGAAGCTCTCGGTAATACCTTGAATACCTGCCTAAGGAAACAGAAGAGGGATCTATTGCCCTCAGTTCCCCTTTTAAAAGCCTTCAGTGACTTCCTGTTGGCTAATTGACAAAATCCAAGCTCCTCAGCCTGTTATTCAAGGTTCTCCACAATCTGGCAAACTCCCCCTTCCACCCCCTCACCTTTCCAACATTTATTTCACAGAAATCTTTTCCACATCCACCACACAGTTCACCCACTACCTCCCCGCTGCCTCTCCCCCCACGCCTCCCACCCCTGCCCCAATCTTACTACCAAAATCCCATCTTTCCTTAAAGACCCAATTAAAGTGTCGCGTCTCTTCCATGAAGTCCCCCACACTGGAAACATTGGTCCTTCCTCAAACCTCACACTATTTGAATTACAGTTATCTGAACACGCATTATTTCTTCGTACTGGATCTTAACCTCTAAGACAGTAAATGTGTCTGATATAGTTTTGTAGCTTCCCCAGAACACATAATTGGTCTTTAATAAATATCTGTTGGATTCAACATAAGAGATTTCATAATGGGAGATAAGTCTAGAAAGATAATTTGGGGCCAGTGGCAAAAGGTCTTGAATACTTCAGACTTTAGTCAACAGGAATGGGGAACTATTCACATAACTGAGCAGGAGTGACCTGATCAGAAGTAGACTTTAGGAAGATAAACCTTGCCTCCTACACCCATCACCCTGGCTGAGACCCTTATCCCCTCCTGCCTGGCTTACTTTAGTAGAGCCTCTGACTTACATCTCTCCTCCTTTCCAGTCTATACTCCACAGCTGCAAAACCAGTCTTCCTGAAAGACAGGTCTGACCACAGCCCTCCCCTGCTCAAGAAGCACCACCTGTAGGATAAAATACAAAGTTCTCTGTGATTAAAAGCCCTTCTCAATCTACATCCAGCTAGACTTTCCCAGGCCTGTCATATGTTACTGACTTTCACACACCCTCTAAGTCCCCACCATTCCATCTCCACACCTTTCATTTCTCACTTGACTGCATTACTTTGGGACATCTCCGACTTCTCTTACCATGTCCCAGAAAGTTTATTAATGGGAAAACCTCATAATCCAGTAAAACCCAATAAGCTCGTACTCCATCTCATCATTATCTTCTGTCCCTCTGATTGGAGAGTGGAGCCAGGAACTCTAAAACTGCCAGGAAAGAGCCCAGCTCAGAACATCTCCTTTCTCACCTGGATACACTACTCTGAGACTTCTCTGATTTTTCTACCATGTCCTAAATGCCCAGACTCCCTTCCCCCCCTGCTTCTCAGCTTCCTTTGATGCTGTCTTCCCCCATTAGATTGTGAACTCCTTGAGCAAAGGGACTGTCTTTTTTTTGGGGGGGGTGGATTTTCTTCAGTATTTTTTGTGCCTCTTTTACCAAGTTCTTAATTTTCTTTTCACAACTTTCTTGCATAGCTCTCATTTCTCTTCCCATTTTTTCCTCTGCCATTCTTAACTTGATTTTTAGAATCATTTCTTTGCTCTTTTTAAAAAGTCTCTTTAACTTTTTTATGAACTCTTGCTGGGTTTGTGACCAATGTGCTCTTTTTTTTCTTTGAGGTGTTGCTTGTAGTTGTTTTCAAAGTCATTATCTCCTTTATAGTTTACGTCTTGAGTTTCCGTCACCATAGTAGCGCTGTATGGTCAGGTTCTTTGTTTGCTCATTCTTGCGGCCTGCTTCTTGACTTTGGAATTTATGTTAGTGTTGGACACTACTCGCCTCTGGGAGGATGTCTGGTCTGAGCTTCTGTCTTTTTATGATCTGCTATTTTCACAGCTTAGTCTGGGGGCCTGTACATTTTTGGGGCTTCCTAAGTGGTGTGATCTGGGGAGAGGGCTGATCACTGCACTCTGCAAATTCCTGACCCAATTTTGGTCGGTTGTTTCATGCGTACTTTCGGTTTGTTGGTGAGTGGCTGAGTTTCCACAGACTTCTGGGGACTCAGTTACAGTTAGCCTGCTGGAAGGTTCTGCAGGTTCAGAGTGACTGAACTACCAGCTCCCCCTTGGTTTTGTTCTCCCTCCAGCCCCCCAGTTATTCCACAGCAGACTTATGTTTGGGGCCAAAAATTAGAACTAAGTCTCCCTTCTGCTCTTGGGCTCAAAGCCACATAGCTATGTTTCCTGAATTTATTCCTTGCTCCTTACAAAAATAGGGCCCCTGCTCCCTGGTGACCTCAACTGCTCCTCTCAACCCTGAAACTGTGACCCAGAACTGAGTAATGTGCCAAAGAGCATCCAAATGGCCTCAATTTCTGCACCCAATGCTAGCAGGGGGTTCTCTGGGATCTCTTTCCACCCAGTTGCTCAGTCCCCTTAGACCCTGGTTGCAGGGCTGTTCCCTGCCAGTGTTGCAGCTGCCATAACTCACTGCCAAGCTGTGCACTGTGCTCTTGGCCAGTCCCCATCCCATATCTCTGAACCTCTTGGTCTATCTCCTAAGTTGCCCTGGGCTGGAAAAATGACTCACTATGACTTTTTCTTGCCTCTCCTGATCAGAATTTGGTTTGCACATTTTCTTGGTCTTTATGAAGCAGGATGTGAAGGAGCCAAGACAAAAAAATTTCTACCTCCCACTCCTTCATCTTGACTCTGGCTTTTTTTTTTCTTTTTTGGTATTTATATCCCCCAGCATTCAGCAGAGTGCCTAGCACATAATAGGTGCTTAATAAATGTTTACAGACTGACTTTATACAGGCTGTGCTTCTTGGCTCAGGTATGATCCTTCCCACCTCCCTGTGGGATGCCAGGCTCCCTCCAGAGGGTGGCAGCTCACGTGCCACCTCTTACCAACGCACAGCCTTTCCGGATCCCCTCTGCTACTATTCCCCCTGCCCATTACCGGTATGTGTTATATTTACATATATGCTTACATGCCATTCCCCCCAAAGGGTCACAGCATAAGGAATGGATCTCAGGAGCCCAATGTCTTTACTTTAGGCGTTAGTAAACTGTGGCCGAGAGAAGTGAGATGACTTGCTCAAAGTCACACAGAGTGGCAGAGCCAGGGTTAAAACCCGAGTCCTCTGACTCCAAACCCAGCACTGTTTCCATCCTAACAGCCACCTGCCTCCTTCTAGAGGCAAGGATGTTTCTGGTTTGGGACTTTGCCTTCCCAGAGCGCAGGCTACAGTGTGTCAGGCAAAAAGTAGGCATTTAATAAATGTTTCTTGATAGATGGTTGTATAAAATTAAAGGGAGGGACTAGAAAGAGCATGACAATGCCTTGAAAACACAGAATGTTCTGGAAGTCAGGGAATGGAGAACTTAGGATGTTTGCAGTGCCTCCAAACACAAGATGTTCTGCAAGGGAATGTAAGCACAACAGGTTTGGAGTTACCAGACCTGGTTTTGAATCCTGCTTCTGCTACTTACTCCCTTGGGGACCCTAAGCAAGGCTAACCCTCTCTGGGTCTCAGTTTTTTTACCTTAAAAATGGTGGCTTGGTAGAGTCAAACTGAAATGATTTCCAAGATCCCATCAGCCCCATATCCTATGAACCTCTCCCCATCAGGTGAACAAATATGTTTTTAATAGCTAAGTCATTCCATCACATACTTGCAACCCTCTGTGAATTTATTCATTAAAACTGCATGGCTTTGTTTACAAAGAAGTTCACTAACAACAAAGGTTAATTGATCCCCAAATCTGAAGGGATTTCTGAGGCTTTACATTTCTTGAGACTTAGGAATCTCAAGGCTCCGAGATCGGGGCTGTGTACAGTTTGCCTACAGTAAACTCTTCAAAGGCTGACAGCGACAATATTAACAGTTTGCATTTATTGGGGGTTGCAGAGTTTATTAAGCATTTTCAAGTCCAGCATTTCATTTCACTGTCAAACAACCCTGGGAGGAAGGACTATCTATCAACCCCTTTTCCAGATGAGGAGATTCAGACGTAGAGACTTACCCAAAGAGTAAAAGCCAGTGCCAGAATCAAGCCCTGACCTAGATCTGCTCCTGCTTCCCACCCATTGCTCTTTCCACAGCATTTCACAGCCTCTATTAATCATCCCATAGACTCCAGAGTGATAAGCTCTGAAAGAAAGTGAGATTGGATTTCTGAGTTTCTCTCTGGCTCTGCTCCATCCTCAGGTATGTACAGTGTGTTCTGTTCTTAGACAAGATTCTCTTTAGAGTGTTGATCATCATGGGAGCAACTTTATAACAAAGATAGACTAAAAGGAACTGAGGGCCGCACTGAGGACCTCGTTATACAGCACACGACCTTCCCAGGGGCAGGTTCACTCTGAGAGCTATGGGAGCCAGCCACCAATTCCCAGCTCTACAAAGACTGGGCAAATCTCTCTACGGCCTTGGTGACTGGTGAGCAAAGGCATTCCAAACACAGACACATTCTCCAGTGAGAAATTCACTCAATCAGGACGGACTGGGTCTGAGGCCTTGGATTTATCATGGTACAGGGCTATAGTGACCCTCCATCACCCTACAAGGTCTCCCAGGTATCCTAGGACCGGAGGAGCAAGTGCTACCCTTGGGCATCCAGAAACTGATGAAACTTCCGGCCGCCATTCTGGCCCTGTTCCTAGCAGTGAATTTTCCATAGTTGATTACCACTTTAAGTGGCAGCTAATGGTTGATAGAAGGTGAATTTCTAAATGCAAGCAGAATCTGAAAATGTACCGCCTCAAGAATAGAACAAAATTTTATTTCCTCTCTTCCTCTCATTGCTATACTGGGGGGGAATGAGGTTCATGTTGATTAATGTTTTAGATTCACAGAATGTCCATACAGAAAGAACATAGTGTCAGATCAGGAGGAAGCCTTAGAACCTTAAGAATTGTAGAAACATTAGATCACAGAATGTCAAAGTTGGGAAGAACTTGGAACAGTGTCAGAGCTGGAAGGAGTCTTAGAACAGAATATCAAGGGCAGCTAGGTGGTGCAGTGGATGGAACACCGGCCCTGAAATCAGGAGGACCTGAGTTCAAATCCGGCCTCAGACCAAACACTTGACACTTACTAGCTGTGTGACCCTGGGCAAGTCACTTAACCCCAATTGCCTAAAAATTAAAAAAAAAAACGAATATCAGCACTGAAGAGATCTTGGATCATAACGACCAGAACCGGAAGGATTTTAGAGCATCAAATATTAAAGCAAGAGGGAACCTAAAGGAATAGTTCAGACACCTCGTTTTACAAATGGAGAAACCAGGTCTAAAAAGAAATCACAGAGATCGATAGAAACTGAGTTTCTTAGTTCCTAACTCAACACCCTCACAATAGAGACAGCACCACAAACAAGATTGGTGAATGACAGCTTTCCATTTATGTATCAAATAACTGAGTATTTATTTATATTCAGCAGCCCCTTCCTTGTTTTCTAATTTCATTTATAGCAAGACTGTCGCTGTGAACATGGTTCAATTCCTCCAGCAGTGTATGAGCTCAGAATACCAAATTAAGTTAATGCCTGTAGATAGTCTAAAAACCAGCCTAAGAATCCTTGGTCTCCTTTTCTGCCAATCCATTGCCTTCACTGCAGAAGGGGAAGAAGGCCACACAGGGCCAAGGGTTCTTTGACATCTGTATGCATCTCACGGCTGCCACTGTCAAAGAACCCATCCCCTCAGTGACCCATCTTAGACACAGCTTGTACTTCAGCTGGTCACCTGGAATCTCATCACCAATGATTAATTCAGCTTTTTTTTTCCCTGATACTCAACATCTTCTGAAACCCCTGAGTTGCCTCTGCTCTCTGGAGGGTAGAGAACAAAACTCCTAAAGCCTCCCTTTATAGAGAGCTGGGATCTGAACTTTCCAAGTAACCAATTTCCCATCAGCAGCTCAGGTTTCAACACCTCACAGCGTATCCTC